CAAGAAATTCAAGCACTCCAAAACATTCATGCAGGGTTGTATAAACCTGCTCCACAGTCTTTATCATCTCTCTTATTACCCTCTTTAGAAACTATTCTAATACAAAACACAATACCAAACTCTATCTACCAAGATCAACTCATAAACCTTCATCAAAAAATACTACTTCTCAATCCAACTAATCTACACTTCTATACCAATGCCTCCATACTCAATTCACAAACATATAACATATCTATTGGCATTGACTGGATTCTTAAAAATGATACACAAATTAAATTCAATACCTCCATACCTCATGCACCAAACTCCATACGAGCAGAACTCACAGTACTTATTCCCTTGTTTCTTATCCTACCTACTAATTACCAAATTCACATTCATCTTGATAGTCTATCTACCATCCAAACTCTCACAAACTCAATACCTTACAACTACAACTCTCAAACCAAACAAAATAATTGGGATATCATTCATATTCTAAATTACCTAACCAAACTCAAAAATATTAATTATATTATCTATAAAGTTAAATCACATTCTAACAACACTCTACACAACATAGTTGATGCTTTAGCTAAGCAAGATGCTGGTAAAACCAAACTAAAACTTAATCTTAATTCCTTCTACCTACCTACCTTCTTTACTTGGAAAGAAATACCAATCACATACAAACTATGAAAATTTTGCAGAAACCTACTCTCTATCCAAATTTTCAACAAACTCATTCAACTCAAACCACTATGAAACCTTCCTATTTTAAACATTCAATTACTTACCAAAATTATTAACTTCCAAAACTCTAACCCTAAACTATACTCTTTCAGAAACAAAATACTTTTAAACAACTTATCCACAATGGCAAACCTGAATATTCATTATCCTCTTCTTTTCTTAACCTCAAATTGCTTAATTTGCAATCAATATGAAGATATTATAAATTTATTACAATGTTTACTTCATACTTACAATCCACATAACATCCTTATCAATGAAATTTCAAATACATTAAGCTCATTAAATCTCCTAGAAACCTCACTACATACAATAGTACAAATTCTAAATCTACAAAACTCACTTTCAAATTCTACTATATATAATACAATACTCTTACTTATCTAGAGAACAATAACTCTCAACCAATATAAACAACTTCAACCTATCCTAAAAAAACTAACAAACAACTTCCTTATTCTTCTATCCAACTCTTTACTTAACTAGTTCAACTCTACTATTTGGCAAACCCAGAATACTAAATAACATGAATGGGAATTAGCATGAGGAATTACTGTCTCAACCAAAAAGAAAAACAACATCTGATTACCTACCCTACAACCTTCCAATTCTACTAACAATAATTTCATATTTAATACTAATATAGATTCTTTTATTTCTAAAACTCTTTCTCAAAACTTTTCTATATATAATTACTTCTACTAACTTTAACAATCCCAAGGGTTCCTTTTACTCTTTCTGTAGTTAATGATTACAATAGTTGATTTAACTAATAACAGATAACTAAAGGATAATATCACACTAGATGTCATTAACATATAGCAACAATAATGTAGCTTAGGAATCATTCTTACTTATACATTTATATCCAATTGATATTTTTATGTATTAATATTTTTCCTACTTGATATTATAATAAAAAAAAAAATTTCTAATGTCATTTTAATTATATGATAGATTGCATTATAATATCCTAATACTAATATATTATTTGATATTATTTCTAATTATCTATTCAAATCTGTAAATATTCTTTATATTTTCTAATATATAATAAATATCTCTATAACTTAATATATCAATCATATATATTTGCTATACTAGCTATAACCTACTACTTTTAGTTGAAATAACATAAGTAATAGCAATATATGAGAATGCCCATATCAAAACAAGGCTTCAGGACTATATATTATATAATCCCTAAGCCTTGTTCTGCTATAGACATCACCATATGTCACAGATGGTATAAAAAAGAATAAAAAGTAACTAATATAAGATATATGTCATATATAGTACACAGAAAAACATAGTAACAGAAACTGTATATAAAGGATCAAATTGTACCTCAAATAAAAGATAACACTTGGAGTTTGAACTTCAAAAAGTAAATAGTAAAAGTATCCAAGAATAATAGTCCCTAGTATAAAACGTTTCATTCACAAAATTGTACTGTGACTCATTTTAGACCTACAAATATTATTTTGTTCGAAGTAAAAGGGAAAGTTCATATAGTAATTGACTCCTTTTTTTATAACGATAAAACAATTAGGTGATTACATCAGTGATCAATCCATTACTTAATATGTACGTAATTTGATTCAGTGATTTTGGCATCCTTCAATGCTGAAATAAGTCTCGTAATTGGAATTAAGCAATATACATAAAAAAAATAGTAAAGACATTAGTATTGAACTAACTTGTTGAATATAAGAAATATCTACTGAAAGTAAAAGAGATACTTACTCAAGTCTCAATATACCCGCAAGACCCCTTCAAACTCACCCAAATCTACCATGCCTCGATCGAAGCCTGACAATTCAGGATTTTTGTCTTAATAGATATTATTTTAGTAGAGTTGAGTTATATATTGCACTATTTTAAGATACAAGAGCCAGGTTACACCACTACAATGTATATACATAGGTCAGGTCTCATGACAAAAAGCTGCCCGTGACTTCATTAACGTGACCCATAATTTGATGATAAAACGCAATTTTTAAAAAAAGACACTTCAAAGGTTTTTAGTGGAGGAGTTAAAAAAAGTAACCATGTTAAAGTTTGAAATAGTAATAAGCATTTGCTTAAGCTGTAAAATATCAATGTCAGTTAAGAAGTTCATAAAACATATAGATCCATTAATTAAATCATTATCCTGAAAATTTTCAGACATTACACCTGACAGATACGTGTGTACATAAATTATAGAATCTATCAAACCGAAATAACTAACTTAACTGCTGACTGTTAATCGAATCACTGAAAATCATTCGCTAATTTTTAAAAGCTGTAATATTACAGTAATCACATCCGAAAATCAAAAAATATTGAATTTTCGTTAATACTGTATTTGTTTTTAAATTTTATAACATATTTTAGAAATTCGGAGCATTCTAAAACTCAAAATTTTAAGAAGTTGAAAGCCAACTATACTCTTGATATAGTGAAGAAAACATCACAGCGCAATCACTTCACTATAACGAGTGTCACTTGCAGAGTTGTAATTACGTTTTTGGCAATTTGTTGGTAATTCACCAGTAATTTAACAACCCTGCCACTTGTATATTTAACAGAACATAGATATGGTGAAACATACGGTTAAATTTCATATTTTAGATTTAACTTACACCATTCTGCGCCGGAAATAATTTTTATTAGTTGCATTAAATTTCCAGATTTCAATGTTTTCAATTTGTGTAGTACTTTTGCTGGCATGAGTTTCGGAATAATACATTCCCGGAGTATTTCTGCACCAACATTAATCAGCGTAACATAAAAACAAAACAAAAACACACACAAACACCACTAATAGCGAAAGCGGAATTTTTATGTTTGCGATGCTAGTGCCCCAATGGGGTGTGAGATATACTATGTAAATTCATTAATGAAAATTTTCGATAGCGCTCGATAGGTAATAATTTTATAATAATTATTGCAAGATTTAAATCGATGCGCAGTCCTAATGGTTCGATACTTTTGGATAAAATTTTGCAAAGACATTATTGCATCTTTACAAACAAAGCTATAGAGACAATTCTTTAAAGAAGAAACTAAATTATGTCCTTTTTTTTTTTTTTTTAAGAAAACAAAAAAGCATAGCATATTATTAAAATTTTTTTCATGTTTGAATAAAAGAAATGATTTTATAGCTTTGTTTGTAAAGATGTAATAGTGGTCTTTGCAAAATTTTATCCAAAACTATCGAACCATTAGGATTGTGTATCTATTTAAAATTTGCAATAATTATTATAAAATTATTACCTATCGATCGCTATCGAAAAATCCTCATTAATGAATTTTATTATATAACCACATATAGTTTTGATTTACATAGTATATCGCACCCCAGTGTCCCACATACGCCCTACGTACCTATTTCTCTGTACGCATCTTCGGACATTTGGAAATCATGATGGTACGTACATTCTATGGAAGAAAAAAAACTCTCAAGGTTATTTACCTATACCCTGTTACCCTAACACGAAAAATATCAATATAGTACTAACCCTAATCAGTAAAACAAGCTATTTAAAATTTTTTAATTTTACGATATTAGCTAATCAATCATACGATCAAATGTATTGCACCTGGATAGGTTGCTGCGCAGACAAAAATTCTTAAAATTCGCCAAGGGTAGAGTTAGGAGTTTGAAGGGAGTAGTTTTTATCGTAAAATTGTCTAAAGAAAACTTTTTGTTTGAGCATAAAAGGTGGTTCCTTATGTTAATTTTCAAGTTTATGGGCGAACGAACGTTTGGTTTGAATCGTTATGATCGTGTTGCGTTACACTTAATCTTTGAATCTGATTCGTAGTTCAGGAGACTGCGCCGCAAACCTTGTAGACATTATCAGGGTGCAATTTATTTTCTGCTGTATAGTACTTTCCTAAATATGATAGAAATTTCTGTGTACGTGCACATACGTGCGTACTGTGCTGTACACGGAATAATTCAAAAATTTATTAAAATTTAAATTTTATACATAATTTATCCTTTTTTTTTATGCACTTTTTTGATATTGCTTTTCAAATTTAAATTAAAAAAATTGATTAAATGAGTTGGAGCTAGTTCGGGCCGATAATTTTCCGCTGCAATATTTATTTTTTTAAAAAATAAATAAACACTGCCGCAGGAATCATCGGAAATGGAAAAATTTGAGCCGGTTAAGATGTAGAACATTGCTGCGTACATCCTAGGAAAAGTTATATAAATTTTACAAATTCTTCAGTGTTAACTATATCAGTCCTATTGAAAAGAATTATACAAAATGGCTCAAGACTCAGCATGTACTAAAGAAACCCTTAAAGGTCTTGATGAATATGTTCTTCTAGGACGTAGTGGGTTAAGAGTTTCCCCTCTATGCCTTGGTACTATGGTATGCTCTTTTAATTTCTGCTATCACTATCATCTTATTTTACTAATTTTTTTAATGGCTTTGATACAAGACATTTGGGGAACAAATGGTAAGTTTTTTTCCTATTTCTAATATACTTGTTTCATGATATGTATAAATCAATATCTTTGCAAATACAAAAACAAATTTAATAGAAAATTGGCGCGAATTTTGAAGACTCTAAAGAAATTTTCAATTATTATTTTGAAAAAGGCGGAAATTTCATCGGTACATATATACATACTTGAGTATTACTGTAAGATCATGCCACCAAAAAAGTCATTATCACGTGATACGTAAAAAAATAGGTTACGTTAGTCCGACAAAAGCTTTTTGTTAGAATGCAAAGAGTTTCTTATGCAAATTTTTGACAAATCGATTTTTTGACAAACAAAATTACTGGTGGTTGCTTAAAGTACTATTTTACTGATAAAAATTCACATGATCTTTTTCATTTTTAGATACTGCAAACGTATTTGGAGAGGTGAATAACGCATGTTAACGATGATAATCGCTCTTATTAATTATCAAACATATATATATGCTAACTAATTCTTTTTTATGCATGTGAAGAGCGAACGCTTTCTTGGAGAACTTATCGCTGATAAACGTTCTCAAGTTGTAGTTGCCACAAAATATACTGGTGTGTTAATTTTATTATTGCTTTACCATAAAAATTCGTTATTTATGCTATATGTTTACGTTTCATTTATAAAGCAAATGTTACTACTATGATGCCAAATCAAAAATATAATCCAAATGCTGGTAATTATATTTATTAATTTCACGAGTTTATTTATACGGATATAAGTACTGAAAACGTTCTATCTAAAGGTGGTAACCACCGTAAATCTCTTGTTGAAAGTCTCAATGAAAGCCTTAAACGATTGGGCACTGGATATGTTGATCTCTTGTATGTTCATGCTTGGGAATTTCGTACTCCTATTGAAGAAATGATGCGCTCTTTAGATGATGCTGTCAGAAGTGGCAAGGTATATTACTATGCTTAATTTGAAGCTTTAGTTAATTAGTTACTATACAGTAACTATTATAAATTATCATAGGTACTCTATATTGCGATTAGTGATGCACCTGCATGGGTGATTAGTCGCGCGAATACTATGGCTGAATTACGTGGATGGAGGTAATAATATATACGTAAATAATTTATAAATTAATTATTGTAATGACAAAAATTAACTGAAAATTTATTAATTTATATAAGTCGTTTTATTGGATTGCAAACTCGGTATAATTTGTTAGAACGATCCATGGAATTTGATTTGCAATCAGCATGTGCTGAACTTGATGTACGTAAATATATTATAATTATAACAACTAAGAGCGTTGAATTAGACAAATCCTCGTAATAAAATTTAGCATTATAGTAATTAATTGTTCATTTTCACTTTAAAGGTTGGAATCATTCCGTGGGGATGTATGGCTGAAGGGTAATATTTACTTCATCGATTTCCTGCATGATTACGCATAAGTTAATTTATATTCATTTATTATTTATGAGCAGTTTCTTAACTGGAAAGTACACTAAAGAGTCGGATACAAGTTTGGGAAAACTTGGTGGACGTAGTTATTCGATTACTAAATCGGCAAGTCTTGAAAGAAATTGGGAAATTCTTGATGAAGTTAAAACTATTGCTTCTGAAATTGATAAAAGCCCTGCTCAGGTAACTTTTTATTTATCTTGCTTATAGTTGCCTATGTATCAAGCTTTAGTATAAGTGGCAGACTCGGGTGACTACATGCATACAAAAAAAAAGATTAACGATTGATAACTATTCTTACCTATGCTAAAGTTCATCTGACCAACACTAATTAATGTCCCTTTTCATAATTCTTTTAAATTAAAAGGTCGTTTTAAATTGGATCTCGCAAAAACCTGGCATTACTTCACCTCTTCTTGGTGTTAAAACAAAAGCTCAATTGGAAGAAAATCTTAAAGCTCTTGAATTCAAGTAAAGTTTTACAAAATATTTTCTTAAAATCTTTATAAGCAATTGAATTTTTATTTACTTTTTATATAATTTAAATAGGTTAACACCTGAACAAATGGCAAGATTAGATACTGTTTCGTCACCAAAAGAAATACCATTTCCTTATAACTTTTTCGGGACAGCTGAATATTATATTGGCAAAAATATTCAGCAACTTGATAAATTTAAACCCGTGTTAAACATGAGCACATAATTGTGATATTTTTTTTATCTTCCATATCAATATCTATATATACCATTTATATTATGTTATTTATGTATTGTTATATTATATCAATATCTATTTTAAATGATCTAGTTGATTATTTTAAATGATTCAATTGACCTATTTTAGGTGATCTAGTTAGTCTATTATCAGTTTATATACTCTAGGCCTTATAGCTACTATCGCTATTGCTATATAATAAAATATTATATATTTGCAACGTTACCAACAGTGTAGTAATTAAGTAATTTTTTTTGAATAAAGTTTTAAAGCATCTTGAATAACATATTGAGCAAGTGTCGTACTATGTCGTTGCATCCTTGCTTTAAGCATTACATGAATATTCTTTGTGTTAGGGTTAGGATTAAGAGCTAGATGGAAGAAATTTATACAGTGAATTGCCAACGAAAACTTTTGTTAGAGCACTAAAGGTGGTTTCTTATTCTGATTTTCACAAACGTTTGTTTCTTAATCGTGTTACGTTTCACCTGATCTTTGTAGTTCAGGAATTCTGTGCATACATTAGTTTGCTGGATAAGTATAAGATATTGTTCATGCAACGATTAATATTGTGAGGTCCGAAAACGTGACCGATATCACGTGGCGTAGATCCCGAATGTCAGATATGTCAGATATATCAGATATATTTGATATATCTGATATATCTGATATGTCGCCTATAGCGCATAAGTGTGGTATCCTAAATAGATGCGATATATTAAACATGTTCTATATGTTAGATAAAATTCATGATGTAAATA